TAGTGACAGCCCAATGTTTCTGTTTTGTTGACGATACGGACGTGATTGAAGCAGGTGACACGGTCCATCACTCTGGGGAGGACATTTGCGCCTCAGTCCAGGCTGCTGCCACCTTGTGGTCGGGGGGTATTCGGGCAACAGGTGGTGCAATCAATCCGGAGAAGTCCTTCTGGTGGCATATTGACTTTGAATGGGATGCTCGCAATGGTCAGTGGAGATTCCGTAGGAAATGCTCCGCGGCACCGGACTTCAACCTTAAGATACCGGGGTTATACGGTGACATTGAACCCCTTCGTCGCCTTGAACCAGATGATTCCAAACGTACTCTGGGGGTGATGTTGTTGCCACTGGAAAATCACAAAGCACAGGAGGCACAGTTGGTCTCTAAAGCTAAAGAGTGGGCCTCACCTGCTACACAAGTACGACGTGTTACCACTAATTCGGACCACAATCATGAAGAAGCTTGAATATCCTATGGCACTCACTACCCTCAATGTTCAACAATGGCAGGACATTATGTCACCGGTTCTCCAGGTGTGCTTACCTAAGTCAGGTGTTTGCCGCAACTTTCCCCGTTCGGTGGTCTTTGCCCCGGTGGATTATCAAGACCTTGGTGTTCCTCATCCTTTTGGCAAGCAAGTTTACAAACACTTGGAGATGATCCTGCGCCATATGTCGGGGGGTACAAAGACTGGAGCATACATGGACGCCAATCTCCAGGCTCACCGACTGGAAACCGGTACCTCCTTCGGTCTTCTACAGCAAGATTACCAGAATGCATCTGGCTTAAACGGGTATGGAAGGAACTTGAATCTCTGGATATGTACGTGGCCTTTGACTCTCCGGCCCTATCTTTAAGGTGTCATCATGACGCCCTCCTGATTGACTTGTTCATGGATCTTGAGGTTGATCAGGACGACCTTCTCTGGCTTAACTGGTGCCGGATGTTCCTGCAAGTAGCCACAGTATCAGATATCACTACGGCTGATGGCCGCTATATCCGGCAATGCATCTGGAACGGTTTCCGCGACGACACTTATCGGACTCCATATAACTGGCCTCGAACGGTACGACCCGGGCGTCCATATTGGGAACTTTGGCAGAGAACACTGTCCCGCGCGCTCTTGCCTTCAAACGGTCAGCACCACCCTCTGCGCCAACCCCTGGGACATTGGCACGACAACTTTGAGTCTTGGAACTGGCTCTGGTCGCCGATTGTTGGTTTGTTTCATCGGGAGGGGGCTGCATGGACCCATTTCGCCCTTGTAGGTTCCTCTACAACTTCTCGGCGCTATGCTCCATCTGGCAGTCACAGTGGTACGGATAGCCTACAATGACCAAGGTCTTGTTGGACTTACCCTTTGCCTTCTGACGTCCTGCGTGCCACAGTGCCCCTCTCCGGTCGCGACTGGGTGCTCCTCACTGGTACAGGTCTCCCAACCTTGCCTCCCTCCGCATTTACCCCCTCCATCCTCAACGCCTGGCAAGCCTCCACCAACCTCTGCACAGATTACTATGGGTGGGTCCCTGATGAGATTGAGGTACATGGTGATGAGGCTGCCTTGGCCCATGCCCTGATCCAGGGCCGCCTCAGAATCATCAGCGATGGGTCATACAAAAATGACCTGGGAACTGCTGCTGTCCAGCTCCTTCCCAAAGGGGACTCTGCTCGCATTGTCATCCGTTGTCAAACTCCAGGCCTACCTCAGGATCAGAGTGCCTATTGTAGCGAGTTGATTGGCCTTCTGGCCGGGATTATGGCGGTCGACTGGCTCCTCCAACAATGGTTCCCAGACCTTAGCCAGCGCCCGGGTGTCAAGATCGCCTGCGACGGCCTTTCAGCCATTGAAATGGCCTTTGAAGATTGACCCCTTTCACCCACTGATGCACAATTTGACCTGATCTCTTCCATCCGTGAAGCCATCTCTCGGTCTCCGGTGTCTTGGTCTCCACGGCATGTCTACGGACATTTGGACAAGTCAAACTTATTTGATGAACTCACTTGGTGGGAAAAGAAAAACCTGGAGGTGGATGGCATGGCAGTGGATTTCCGCAAGGAACTAGAGGCGGCCCACCAACTTATCCCCCCCAACCCTCGGTTCTTCACGGAACTGGCAGCTCTTTTTGTGGCTGACACAAAGCAGTCTCGGCTGAGTGACCACTTCATTCAGGAGTGCGTGACACTCCCCCGCCTGCGGCAACAATGGAGGAACCGTAATGTGATCTCTGAGGAGTCTGAAAACCTGATTGACTGGGAGACACTGGGCCGCGCTATGCGGTCGCTACCTGCCGGACTCCAGCGCTGGATTACAAAACATTGGGTGGGCATGTGCGGCACGGGGAAGTTCAAAGTGTATTGGGGCCTCGAATTGTCCGCTGCGTGCCCTCCGTGCGGCGAGTTTGAAGATCACTTGCATGTTCCCCGTTGCCCAGCAGCCTCGGCTAGGGACGAATGGGATTGGAGGGTGACCGTTCTCTCGCTCTGGATGGATATACATCTTACCTCCCCCGCCATCAAGCACGCGATACTCCTTCTGCTTCAGGGTGTTCACGATTCATCATGTCCCCCTTGTTTGATCTCTCGGACCATCCGCCCGGCCTTTCTGGCACAGGAAGCTATTGGGTGTCAGGGACTTTTGGAAGGCAGACTAGCCTCCTTGTGGCTGTCTCTGCAACAAAATTATTTTGACGAGACTCACAGTTGTCGGTCGGTTTCTCTGTGGGCCTCCCGTCTCTCCCAGCAACTCATCTCCATTAGGTTCTATATGTGGGAACAACGGAACGCCGTTCAACATTCGGACGACAATGTTCAGCTCCGTGAACGTCACTGTGTTGTCAATGAGGGGATTCACTCTCAGTTTGATATGGGTTCAGCTGATTTACCTCCGGATATTAGACGCATGCTGACATGCCGTCACGGCGTCCTCCGTAAGTCATTGGTGGACAAGGAAGAATGGCTGAAGCTACTTCGACAGGAGGGCAAGGACTATTGTTGCTCTCTGCGGGCTCAACGCTGTAACCTACGGACTATCTTCTCTGCTCCCCCCTCCTGAACGCTTTCCAACGTTCGTGGGACACTAAGCGCCCCAAATTCACCCCGCCTCGCCGCGGGAGAAGTCATTCTTAACGACATGACTTGAGCAACTTCTGTATAGGTACAGATGCCTCCCATGGTTCAAACTTGTTGTTGACTCACCGCTCCACAGTACTTGACCTTTCCAGCCAAATATTTCACCGGCAATCAAATGCCCATAGAGTAGCATCCTAACGATTAATGTCTCCGTTATTATTCTTCTTCTGTGTCATCCAACTGACAATATCCTTCCACGTAATATTATTGTCGTTCGCCGGATCATTCGGCGAATTGATAAAATCTCCCTGCCAATCAATTGGGGAAAGGAGCGGAACAGTGCCAGCTTTCTCTTCCGAGTTTGCCCCGGGTTGTTCTCATCGTTCACGTTGGAACAATTTCCAGGAAGCATATCATGATACATAAATAGGGTTTTTAAGCGATTTGCGTGAATTCCAATTTCAGTATTATATGGTTTGCGAATGTGGTTGGAAGTATCAAAGAGATACATGTTCGCCTGATACTTTGGATTCTCGCCCGTGTATTCGCAAATGAATTCATCGACAGAATCTTCAAAGTCCTGAACTGAGTTCCCATGAGCATCAGAAATCCTCTGATAGGTCATGTGCGGTTCAGCAGTGAGGAATTGCTTGAACAAGGCCTTCTTCTGACGACCCTGATTGAGTCCCCACTCTGAGGAGATGTTGCGAAAGGATTGAATGGACCTAAGGAGTGGTTCAACATTCTTTCCACTTGCACCATTCCAAACTTCAACCTTTTGCTTGCGCTCAAAGTTGTTGTCAAAGGAACTGACATACTGCATCACTGGATTAGTGACTTCCCTGGCCTTGTATGCCAATGGAGAGTCGCTTTCATTGACAATGATGGTTTGACGGAGCATGTGTGTAGAAGCCATCGTAGAAAAAGTACTGTAACGTGAAACTTGTTGTAAATCTGAAAGGATCAAGGTTTTTCGATCAAATCAAACAGCAATTGCTTGTGTGAGAGAGAGAGTATACTCTTGTAGTCTTCAATCTAAGCCTTATGGCTATTCGAATAGTGAACCAGCCTAGAAGAAGAGATAGGAATGGGTCACCACAAAAGTTATAGAGTCTCTCAGAAAGCCACAGAAAGGAGTGACATAAGAGATAGGCCTAAAGCTATGTCTGTACCTCCAAAGGGTCTAATCTAGTTCCAAGGTCACTCCAAGGTCATTACAATTTGAGAACCGCCCACTTAATGATCAGCAGGTGGAAGAACTTTGAGGAAAGGTCCAAAAGGGTTTTGAGGCCCAAGAGATCATCCAAGAATTCAACGACTATCTAATTACGACAATGCATCCAGATCCACCAACTGATGCCAAGTCGACCGAGCGTGACGAGACTACACAATTTGTGCAAGGAGATGACAATCGACATCCTTGCAACCAACAGCCCAATATCTTGTGAGACGACCTGTATTGTGAATTGATCAATGCTGTCCAACGTCACAAGTGCACATCTTATTGTGTCAAGAAGGAAGGTGAAAAGTGTTCCAAAAACTTTCCGATTCCATTGCAAACCAAGACAATCCTTGCTGTAGTGCAAACCAAGACTAGAGCTGGAGGTATTGGAACAAAGATGGAGCTTTACACAAAGCGAAACGATTGGTTCCTGAACCCACATTGCCGTCCTCTCATGGCTTCTTTCATGTCAAACATGGACATTCGGCTGACAATTGATGTGGGAAAGGTCATTGGCTACATGACCAAATATGTGACCAAGCCTGAGGCATTGCACTCCAGAAGAACGAGAAATTTCTTCTTCAATGCTCTCAACAATGCCACAGAAGGAGGTGAAGCAACTAGTGTGAGAACAGCTTTGAATCGCCTGCAGACGACTGTTGCCGGAAATCGGCCGCGTGGAAAGCCAGAGACATGCCATCTAATCAATGGACTTCCTCTTGTGTATTCGTCACACACTTTCACCAAGGTAAACCTCTACAACAACACAATGGAAGTAGAGGTTGGAGAAGGAGAAGTTCAAACCAAAGTGACATTGATCGACCCTTATGCAAAACGAAATGAAGCATCATGGTGGCAAGATGCGAGTGTGTTTGTCAACGCAAGAGACAACGGTCTTGAACATTTGAATCTGGACGACTTTGGCAGGAAGTATACACTACTCAAAGGTGGTAATTTTGCGGGAAAAATCAAGGAATTGGATCGAAAGAAGTTCCACCAGTACGTCCCACAGCTATCCAATAATCCAAACGGTCCAAAGTATGTGGACTATTGTCAATTGGGATGTGTTCGTTACAAAACTTGGCGAGATGGCTATCACAACGCGTTTGGAGGAAGTGAAGTGACAGATCAAGAGAAGAAGGACATTTGGAATGCACTTCTTCTTGAAATGTCTAACAATGCTTCTTCTCAGGACGAAGAAGGACGGCGACCTCCAGATCATCTTCAGCAGGAAACGATGCGGGCACTAGCTGCAGTACAGTTGTCGGACAATAGTCTGGATGTTGGTGGCGGTGGCGGCGGCAATGGAGGAGCTGCTCAAGTCGATGCAGATGACATCGACGAGGACGAGTTTGAATTGCAGTATTCAAGTTTGGGAACGGATGTCGACCTATGGCATGAGGACGTGGACGACAACCTTGTTTGGGATGAGGAAAAGGACTGGGGGTCAGTCGGTCGTGATCTTGCTTCCTGTGTTTCGGAAGACCCGGTTGCAGTGCTACAGCAACGAGCAACCAATACCAATGGACCAAGGGAATTGGGTGGAAGGACAGTGAATCGCAACGAAATGAAAGATCACCAGAATGCTTTTGTGAAGTTGGTGGAAACGGTGTTGGAATATGGAGACGGCGACTCTTCCACTGATGGCGGGAATGAATTTTCTTGGTGCATTCTGCTTCGAGGACAGGGTGGGACTGGAAAGTCTTTTGGCATGAACTACCTACGACAGAAGCTTGAACCAGGTGAAGTGGTTGCATTGGCAACGACAGGAAAAGCTGCTACGGTCAATAATGGCTCTACTTGTTTCAGTAGAAAGGATGGTTTGGCGTTACCAATTGGATCGCGACCACTTAATCCATTGCAAGGTCGAATCAAAATGGATTTGCAAGAAACGCACAAGAATGCCAAGGTAGTCTTTATTGACGAATATTCCATGCTGCATCAAAAGTATTTGCAAATGATCAATCTAAGGTTGCAAGAGATCAAGGCAAATAACAAATTGTTTGGTGGCGTTGTTCTGGTATTGGTTGGCGATACAGCACAACTTTCACCAGTAAAGGGCAAGCCATTATGGTACGGAGGAAATGATGGATGCAACGCTTCGCGGAACCTGTATTTCCAACAGTTTACATCGGTGATTGAACTGGTAGTAAAAAATCGCGTCGACAGGAATGACGAAGATGCGGTTTGGTTTGAAAACTTTTTGAACAAGTTGGCGGATGCCCGTATTGAAGAGAACCACTATGAATGGATACGAGATCGCTGTTCCAGAGACACAATGGGGACACAAGCATGGAGAGCTCGTGGATTCGACAATCCTCGTATTACCAACCTCTTTCCAACCAATAGAGAGGTGGATACACACAACAGAGATGCACTGAAGGCTCTGAACAGTCCAATTCTTCGGATTGATGCACTCAATTTAAGTTCTCGGATGAAGGCACTATCAGTGGACCGGTGTGGAGGTCTGTACAATGTGCTTTTTCTGGCTATCGGCGCAGAGGTTCCCTTGACCTACAATCTCTGCCCAAAGTTGGGATTGGCGAACGGCTCTACTGGAAAAGTGGTGGGCATCAAGTATCGCCAAAAAGAGAGTCCACAAACCAAGAAACATCTTCCATATTGTGTCTGGGTGGAAATGGACGATTATTCTGGGGAATCATTCTTTCCAGAGCCAACATCAAGTACAGAACCGTCAAGAAGTAAGTGGGTTCCAATTTATCCTCAGACTCATATCGAATACACAAAACGGAACGGGGATTGGGTCGAAGATACAAGAACGATGATCCCCTTACGACTCGCTTGGGCGTGGACGATTCACAAGGCACAAGGACAAACGATCAGGAACAAAATTGTCCCGACGCTAGGGAACAAGGAAATGGAACATGGTGTGTCTTATGTTGCATTCTCTTGGGCGGTTAGGGTGTTCAACGTTGGCATCAAGGGTGGAGTGACGTTATGTCTGCAAAGTTTTCCCCCCACTTTGCAGCCCCTACCCCGTACAATTATATATTTTGCCCTGGTCAAATAAAACTTGAGCTAGCCACATGCGTTATGGGTGATTGTTGGGTGCTTGGCCAGGTCATCAGCCAAAATCAAATCTTCCTGTAACGATTTGTCTCTTGCCTTGTCGTGAACGTTGCGCAAGGTCGTCCATAGTAGAAATAACAGGAGGGTTAAGTGTATTTTTTTTTCATTAGCAGAATCAAGCACAGCAAACGCAACAGCACGAGCTTCATTCACCACGGCATCGCTTGGCCCTCCCTTGGCTTGAAGTTCCATTGCCAGCTGCGTCTCCATGTTTGCTGACATGTCAACTTTCCGTTCATCCAGCAAATCAACCAAAACCCTTTCTTCTGACCTTGTTGGTGAGGAAGCGGCTGAAAGCCTCTCTCCTTTCACCTCCTGCCTTGCCGTAGAACTCGTTTTTGTCCCAATGATGTTGCGTGACAAGTTCTTTTACTAGGGTTTGGATCTGGAAAAATACAGGACTGTATCTTTTGGCAAAAGTAGGTAGTTGTTGGTCTGCCAGCTCAAATTTCCAGGGGGAAGATGAGTAAAATCTCACACATTTGAGTAAATCTCACACGTTTGAGTAAAAACTCACACGTTTGAGTAAAAACTCAAACGTGTGAGTTATACCTCAAACGTGTGAGTCGTTTGAGTTATCTGCAAAGTGGCCCGTCTTCTTTTCCCTGGGCAGCTTTGCTTACTACTTTGTGCGTGTGCATGCGAATTTGGGATGGGGTGGGATACGGTGTTCGGGTGTCAACAATTAAACGGGAAAAAAATATTTATTTAGTTAACCTTTTCATATCACATCTTGTTGTGCCTTAATACGACACAAAACTTCGTCGTTTTATTTCCGACTCAATCGACCATTTGATTGCCAGCTGGATCCACGCATGGAGGTCACTTGATTCATTCATTCCACGTGGAGGTCGTTTGCAAGAAATGCCAGCGCATGAACCACGATTCGACTCATTGGACCTCGGTTTTGAATTTGACGTGTGCCGAGTTGCCGGCGCGGAAAGGAACGAGAACTTGACAGCAAAAGCCAAAACAAAAGGGGGAGAACTTGATGTTTTGTGGAAGCAAAAGACAAACAAAAGAAGCTTTCCGTACCTTGGAGGCAATGGGATGGAAGCATTCTAACAACATTCAAAGTCAAATGTCAACTATTCTAGTCTAATATCGTTAGCTAAGTCTATTAGTGATGGCTTGTACTAGGCTAGACAGTGCCAAAAAGCGGCGGCGGCGGCGGCAAAGATACAAAGAAAACCAAGAAAAGAAAAGAGCTGCCAAAGCAAAATGGGCTTGTCCACCCTTGGCAGAGGAAGAGAGGAATGAAAGGAGACGGAGGAAGCATCGTCGCTACAATGAAAAGAGAAAAGGTAGCCAAGGATCTTTTGCGCCGCCATCCCAAGACTCTTTGCAACATACCACCGCCAATGCTTCAATTTCAACACAGCAGAACCACCGACAGTTGATTGTTGAGACAGTGGGAGCAGATGAAGCAGATGAAAGCGACGATGACGACGAATTGCCAGACACCAATGCAATTCTTCAGGCGTCACAGCAGTCAATTCATGTGGAGCGTATGGAAGCTGTGATGGGAGGACCATCGGAACCAATGCAAGAAGGGTTCCGATCCCACCAGCGCCACCACCAGATGCTTTTGTTGGCGCCTGGAACGACCCTCTCTTCCTTGGTTACCTTCGAAACCATCCAAACAATCCAAATCCAGGTGTCCTCCCCCAAGTTCAAGCACCTCCAAGGGTTGCCGCGTCCGATAATCGTCAAGCTCAAGTTGAGTGTGGTGTTGCTGGTGGTCCAATAGTTGTTCCAGCTTGGACCGCCCCTGTTGCTGCTGCGGCTGCTGCAAGTGTCCCACCACCACCACCAGTGGCGCGACGACCAATTGCAGATTGGCTTGCAAGAATTCCAGAAGAAGAAGTGTATACCCCTGCTCTCCTCAGAACAAGACGATTATCACACGATGAGGCAGAAGCAAATATTCGTGAGAGCAGTCGGTTGTCACAACAAAGGCGACGCGCAAGAGAAGTCAACTTACGACTGGAAAATGTCCCACCAAGACAAGAACCCTCTGCAAACGACATTCTTACCAGTCAAGTGACTTTGTCCCCCTGCATCAGCATCGAGATATGCAAACCTGTATTCGACTGTTTCAAGCAAATGCAGAGAGGTTTCAGACGGATTAATTTTTTCATTGCAACTATTGCAAGGAAAGAGGGCCACATACCAAGCGAGCAAGAACTGGTTTTGCTGGGGAATGCGTGACCTGTCAAAAGCAAAGACAAGATCGAGATATTAGCTGCTGCAAGTTCTCGGCAGCAAACAAAATGGATCCATTCCCACAGGGCTATCCACACCACTTACCAAAAGTGACTCCGATTGAAGAGACAATGATTGCCCGGGTCCATGTTGTCATGAAGTGTTATCAGATGCAAGGAACAGGGCACATGAGATACGAAGGCAATGTCATCAATCTTGAAAAGGAAACAAATCTTTTGTCAGTCTTACCTGCGGCGTTTAATGAAATTCCCACCGTATTTGTGGTCCGAATCAACAATCCCAATGCGCCAACAAATGCGCCCAACCATCGTGATTTCAGATGTCGACGAGAAGTTGTCCGTGCGTGGTTGACGTACCTGAAAGCTCATCATCCATGCTATGAAAACATAACCCTTGAGATGGCGAGAATCGATGCATTGCCAGTAGATGGCAATGTATCCAATCAGATTCCGCAAGTGGTCCATGTGGTTCGTCCCAACAATGAACGAACCCAGGGCACACAAGCAAAAGAAGGCGAGGAGGACGCTGCTGCTGAAGAAGAACAAGTTCCTCAGCAACAAGTGTTAGAGCCAGGTCCAGATACAAGTGGCGCGACAGGAGCAGTTGGGTTAGATGCTGGTGAAGTTGTGGTCGACGACAAAGTTTACATACCACAGTCACTTACCAATATGAATGGATTGGATTCCGACCGAATCCGTCAGTTCGTTCTGAATGGCGCATCTGCTGCTCCTCCTGGCCATAGCACCAATCCGATTGTGATGCCACCTGGTGGGGCGCCTCTCAGCGACTACAACACACCAAACCTTCAAAGCATTGCATTTCCAACCCTGTTCCCACATGGTGTTGGAGACGTAATAAGCGGAGACAGATTGGTGAAAGTGAAATTGAACCAAGCCAACAAACACTTACTTTGGTATTGTCTGAACAAGGCGGATCGCGGCCTTGCTCCTTAAGACGACGGTCCGGAATTTGTTTACCCTTTTGCTGAACATCCCAAATGGATGTACTGGGCCCAAAATACGGATGAACGCCATCGTCTGAATAATCAGAAGAAGGTGTATCAGCAACGTTCTCCAGAGCACACAGGATTAGAGATGGCAGAACTACAGCGGATTGTTGACGAGAGAGACTCGGTAGCCTTGAACAATGTGATGTCCAAGATGCAAATGTACAATGGACAAGTCTTGGGATCGGGTGCCTACTTCTTCAGAAATAGAAAACAGTTAGAGGCGTTGATGCAAGCTGAAGGGATGCCAACGCTGTGGTTCACCTTTACGGCAGCTGACAATCATTGGTTCGACTTACATGCTTTTGGAGACAACATGGGAGAGGGATTGACTGAGAAGCAAAAGTTGAAGAAGCGTGCCAGCGGCATTATAGTATCTGGTGCACAAAATGTTTGCCACTGTCAAATGCATTCTTTCACAGATCGCATTTGCGGTCGCATTCTTGCTAGTGGTTCCGCCATCATGGATTCCCCAAGTAGCGAGTTTCGCTTGGAAAGCTTCGCCAATGAATTTGCCTCCTTGATCGTGAATACATTTGTATGGTCTCAGATACCGCAACAACCACAGCATTTCAAACACGCTTGCTACGTGTGTTGCAGTTTTATTCTCAATAAAAGCAAGTTCAGTGAGATTTGTCACGGGATCAATACAAGCCAACGCGTTGAATTCAAGTTCTCTACCGTTGACTTCAATTTTCCATGGACCAATCAACTCGACCGCAACGGAGAACCATGGAACCAAATCCGCAGGTCATTCAGGTAACTGTCCCTATTGAACATTCGCCGCTTTATTGAGTTGGCAAATTTCACAATTGAATGGTTCAATTCGTTGCTTCAATTCAGGAGAATAGAACCGGTTTGCAATCGTAGCATACATTGACGTTTTTCCTCTGTGTCCAAGCACAAGGTGATACCAGGTGATCACATCATCAACCAAACTCAAAGGTAAGTAAATTCTCCAATTGTCTTGACGTGCAGGATCGATTTGATAGGTGATGATGAGACGCTCGTCAATTGTCGTGATCTGGTAGTGCTGTGCATCGCGTTGAGCTCGTTGCATGAGCAGTTGATCTTGAGTTTGATGTTGTTGAATGTTTGGCATTGTGATTGGGTTTGGCATCGTCTGTAGAGGAGGATGATTCAAAAAGGACTCTTCCATTTCAATGTCGTCAATGGTCAGGTGTTCCTGAATATCTCCATCTCGGCAACAGGAGAACTGACATCAAAAGGTACTGTTGAACTCGGCTTCTGTTGGTGGCGTGATCAAATCATTTTCTTTTACGAGAACATTATTTTCAAACGTGTAGATTTCGTCTCCAGGATCAACAGAAACCTGTAATTTTATCAAACGCAATCAATTTACCCTTATTTGGACTCTTCCCTACAGACGGATTCTCCATTTGCGGAAGCCAAGCAAATAGACGAAATCGGGACCAAACTCTTCAACAAACATACGCCAACGAAGAACTCGTTGTGTGTTCAACGTTCGCATGGTGAGATTTTTATGATCAGTAAAAATAGTTAACTTGGCACCATATATCATAGATCAAAATTCTTTCAAACAATGTACAACAGCCAACATTTCTTTTTCCATTACTGAGTAATTGCGTTGTGCAGCATTGAGCTTACGACTCCAGTAGGCGACGGGTTTACCTTCCTGCATGATGTCAGCGCCCATCTGGTAGTCAGACGCATCAGTATAGATTTCAAAGGGTTTGTTTGGATTGGGGTAGCGCATCATTATATCGCTAGCCATGAGAGCTTTCATCTCAGCGAAAGCTTTTGCACATTGATCAGTCCATTCAAACATTCCTTTGCCTGTGAGCTCTGTAAGGGGTTTGAGAAGATGAGATCGACGCGGCCACATGTGGCGGTAAAAGGTAACAGCACAAAGAAATGCACGCAATTCTGTTACATTTGTAGGTGCTGACATCTTGAGGATGGCATCAATCTCTTTCTTCCACGGTTTGACGCCTTCAGGAGTCAACCAATGGCCCAAGAAATCAGTTTCTTGGACACACCACTCGCACTTCAAGGGATTGATTTTGAAACCAGCAGCTTGTAGTCGCTGCAATACTTCTTGGATCAAGGCCATATGTTCTTCGTAGGAATTGGAGAACAGGCCAACATCGTCAATATAAATTTCGACACCTTTTTGTTTTAGGTCGCATAGAGTTTGTTTGATGTAGTACTGGGCAAAATCAGGAGCCGGTTTCAATCCCATAGCCATCCGGTTGTATTGGTACGGACCGTACTGGGTGTTGATTGTGCAAAGTTTTTTGCTCGGCTCATCCAGTTCAAAAGAATAATACATCATTGTGAGATCAAGTTTTGTGAAGTACTTGTAGCCAGAACAATGCGCAACAATATCATCAATCAAAGGTAAGGGGTATACTTCATGCTTGATATTCTTGTTCAGCTGTCTGAGATCGCTGATCCATCGCACCCTACCGTCCTTCTTTGGAATGATGAATGTTGGCGATGCCCATTCTGACGGGCCTGTTCGTTCAAGAACTCCAATTTCTTGTAGATGTTTCAATTCTTTGAGAAATGCAGGTTCATGTTGTTTTGGCAGAGAATACGCTTTTGAAAACACGGGTTGTGCATTCTCAATGAGCTCCAAGTGAACCTTCTCATGCTTGTAATGACCAAGTTGACCATCGAAAATCTCGTCTGTATTCTTCAACGCTTGAGCCAAAAGTTTGCGCTGATCTTCAGTTAGATGTTGTTGCTTGTCAGCAACTTCAGCACCTGAAGTAGCTTCATATTTTGCATCCATGATGAAGGCATCATCAGCATCATCATCATCGTAGATATCTAAAACATCGCGATCCAATGCCATTGAATAGTTGGTGTGATTTTGCCAATGATCTGGAGCCTTCATTGGAATGAACTTGTCTATCCATTTGACTTGTCCGTTTGAAAATTGGATATCCAAGCCCATTTTGTGTAGAAGGTCGCGTCCGATTATGACGTCATGTGGACACGTTGGCGAATCGAAGACATTCGCCTTGACACCGTCGACTTCTGCGATTCTGCGGTGTTTGTCAAATTTGGGAAAGACTCCGTCCCACAATTTCACACATTTGTCAGAAACAAAATCACCAGCAACAGTTGTACACTTCTTCGCATTTTGAATACTTTGTACCTTAGCATCTTTAGGAATCGCCCTTGCATTGATCATCGTATGCAATCCCCCTGAATCAAATAATACTCGTAAAACTTTTCCACTTTCAATTGCTCCAATTGTCTTCCAAATCACCAAAGATGTAGGTGAAAGTCGCTTTTTTCTCATCAAATCCTCCATAGAATCTACGTCTTGTTTTGGCGTAGGTATACAAAGCAAAGAATCATTCAAAAGAAACTCTTTTTCATCTTTAGTCATGGGACCATCTTCATCATTAAATTTTTCCAATGCTGAAAGAAACGAAGACAAATCAGGTTCCAGAAATGGGTTAGGAAGCTTAAGAAGCTTTGTTAGTTTACGAGTACTTTTGGGTCAGTAATGCTCTTCATGAAAGGAAAATGGCGAATCCTCATCATAGGAAATGTTGGAGGTATTGATATACTGAGCAATCATATTGGTCGATTATTGATCAATGGTCTATGTGACGTGACGCGGCAGTGACATGAGTGTTGATCATGCGTAGTATGAAACGCAGTATGTCCAAACGAGTCGTCACGTAGAAAGGTGATCAAGAATGAGAATCGTGAGAATTTGTAATATGATCCTGAACTTCAATTGAGAGTCTCACTATCGATTGAGTTCTGGCAAGAATAATATTGTGGACATTGAGGTCCAAGCAAGTATAGAAAATAATAAAGTAAGACCTTTGATTGAATAAGACTACTGCTTATTCCAGAGGCTGAGGCCCAGAGTCGCTGGTGCCCAAAGGCAGACCATAGCCGACGTAGATTCGATCTCAGGGATTGCTCATTGAAACAGACAGGGCGTTGAGGCACCCATTCAGGTCTGTAGAGCAAGTCCATCTGACACTCAATCGATAGTGAGAAAGTTTATAAAAGAGACAATGACGCGCCGCAACCAAAGTACAAGAGGAGTTCGCGGCGGCAATCGATTCGGTGGAAATCGCCAGACGAGTGGCAATTCACAGAATACAAAAAAGAAAGAAAAACGATCGCCCAAGTATCATCCGAGCGACCCAGATTTTCCTTATGCCGATGTAACAAGAAGCCTCATCGAACGAATTGGAATGGAGGGATTGGAGTATCCTCAGATTATGATATCTTCCATCAAAGAATTGAATGAGCCAGACTGGGATGGTTTGAAACCCAAATTGGATTTAACTGGTCAAGAAGACGAAATTGAGAAAGAGGCAAAGAAAGAAGAATTGAAAACGGAGAGTGTCGAATACCATCGACAAAAGCGATACTGGAGCAAAGCGAAGTGGCATGTTCATTCGTTGATTATGTCATTTGTTACCAGTAAAATGAAGGACAAGATTTTACAGGAGGTCAATTACAATGAGAAAATCGAGAGTGATCCTATTGAATTATTGAGACGCATCAATAAATTTATGACAACCAGTGATGTGATAGACTGGGAACCCATTACATTGTGGGAAGCACTACAGAAGTGGGTGAATTGTCGTCAGAAAGGAAATGAAACGGTGATTGAATACCGTAAACGATTTGAAGAATGCGCAACTACAGTATTATCTTTCTTGGGTGATTCGTGGCTAGAAGTGTTTGCCGCAAAAACGACTGCATATCATGAAACAATCACCCGACTAATGGCTTGTCGGATAGAGAAAAGAAGCGAGTTGCAGCTGAAGTCGAAGAACTTCAAGCAGAATTTCAGGATGAGTTTGTAAAACTGTTCTGCGCTGCTGGATTATTGCACAACTGTAATTGTGCACGATACCAGCCGGTACTTAAACATTTTGTTACTGCATACGCTGTGGAGCACGTGGATTATGCTCAGCGAGATTTATTCCCGAGAGATGTGGAAACTGCAGCCAAGGCGCTACACAATCATCGGGTAAAGAAAACAACAACATCGAAACATAACAACAACAACAACAACAACACAAATGATAAAACAAACACACCACAGAACGGTACTAACCTTGCACAGAATTACAATAAGGAAAGTAAGCGTAAATGTTTTTGCTGTGGTAAGGCGGATCATGTTGCACCGCGATGTGAACATCAATTCCTACCCAAGGAACAATGAAAAGATCCAACAAAGTGGAGATCGTATCCCAGGACCAAAACGGGACGCGACCAGGTGCACCTACAGACAGGCACCGAGGAGGGATCTGTGCAGTCAAGTGTTACAGCTAACACCGCAGGTACACCCGCCAACAATGATGGCGGTATTTCTCAGAAGAACCACATGCAGACTGGTTCGGCTGACAGGAGTGGTGGACCACAGCCTCGAAAGCAAAAGATTGATATTCAGGGGTGGAATATGGCTCAGTTTGGCGGACGGAAGAGAGTACCGCAGCCTATTTTAAGACCTGCCAGATTTGGGACGTCACCACCACAAGACATAATGGCAAACTGGCAGGTACAATTGGATGCTGTCAGGGCAGCCGAAGAGGACGTCAGTGTTGCAAGTACACAGAGCTCCAACGTACAGGTTGGCAGGGAAGTAGCTGTGATGCATTCCCAAGCTCATCGGGGACTTAGGTACAAGGATAGCGGCAATCTGGTATATCTTGATTCAAATGATTATAAGGATGGTAAGATTCCGGAGCATTTTGATACGCATGATCCAAAGTGGTTTCGTTCGGGCGCAACAGGCCCGTCCCTTGACACTGGTTCGACATTTCATCTTCGCAAAGATTCGATGAATGCGAAGATGGGAACATTAAAAGAACTTCCGTATATGTTCAATTATGGAACAAATGTTGGCGGAGGAAGGAATCTCACGCATGAAGTTGAGAGTAAACACATGAATAATATGTGTAAGTATGACGCTGATGCCATCTGTGATGTGGACAGTGCGTCTTTATTGGTAAAAGAAGGGTATCGTATCGTGATGGATACCGACGTAGAAAATGCATTTATTGTTTCCAAAGATGGGAATCAATGGATTTACAGAGAGAAGGATGGGTTGTATACTTATGAACCCCACAAGGGGGAGAGTCACTGCAATGTGTGCATGGAAATTGGATGGACTGGTGAAGCCTGCAGATCGTGCAGAGCCCACAGTGGTTTCGTGCCGGGTGTTTCATATCATGGCGGCATCGATAATACAACTAGTCAACATACTTCCCGTTACTCTGGTCTCCAAACTGTAAAAAAGAACATAGAGGGTTACACCCCACGACAAGTTGACCAAGCAAACGCTGCAAGATCCGGGTATCACATGGGTGGTGCACCAGGGATCGAAGCATTCAAAGTCGCTGTATGCTCAGGTTTATTCAAGAACTGTCCCATCAGAGAAGAGGACATTGTTATTGCTGACAAGATTTATGGACCAAGCGCTTCAGTTCTTAAAGGAAAGACTAAGCGTCCTACCCCGGAAGCAGTCTGGGATGATTGGGTTGAGATCCCACATGAATTGTTGGTCCACAACGTTGATTTGAATTTGCATCTGGATATTGCATTCATCAATACCACATTCGGATTGACCACAATTGATGGTAGTATCCGATACCAAGCTTTTGTACCACTACGAAGTAGGACTGCAGAGTCGTTGTGTGACGCAATCGATCACGTATTGCGCATTTACAACCATGCTGACTTTACTATCAAGACTATCTACTGTGATGGTGAATTTAGACCAGTTTTTGATGATGTTAAAGATGAGATGAATGTTGATATGAATTATGCGAGCCGGGGGGAACACGATCCCACGGCGGAACGAAACAACCAACATATCAAGGCGTTGTTCCGTGTCCAATACCATTGCATGCCGTATAAGGCCATTCCGAGGATTATTACTGAAGCTATTGCCAAACGAGTTGCACAGACTTCCAACTTTTACCCCTCCAAAGGGGGTATTTCGGCTTATTACAGTCCTCATATGATTTTGTTGCGACGCCAAGTTGATTACTCGAAAGAATTTGTTGCTGAACTTGGGTCGTATGTCCATGGTTATGGACATGATACTCGCAGTGATCATCGGTCATGCACTATTGAAGCGATTTACTTGGGACCAGCTGATAATATGCAAAAGGGTCACAAGCTATATGATTTGAACACAAAAAGAGAGGTGACTAGGCCTCAAATTATGGTGCTCCCAATCACTGATCAAGTGATCAAATTAATTGAAGCCCATGCTGCTGAGGAAGGCGTTACAGATTTACAAACCTATTCCAGACGCAATGGAGAAATAATTTTGGATGCTGCTCTGCTCGCAGGAGTGGACCCAGATGAACTGTGGGACGAAGACTATGTACCTGCAGATATTGAGATTCCATCTGTCAATGACATGAATTTGCGCAAGAAAGATGCAATCTCCGATGAAGAACTCGAAGAATTAATCGAGGATGCAGCTGAAGATATATTGGAATCTAGAAGAATTGATGATAAGAGACAACACGAATATGATGAGGCAGATAGAACTGTCGACCGCATGCTGCAAAGAATTAAAAGACGTCAAGAAGAAGAAGATGAAGAGGATATGGATTTTGTGCAGGATCAGCAACCTGAAAGCGATATTGAGATGGATATCGATGATGAAGAATTAAAAGACATGATTGATGAAGTAGCCCGTGAGTTGGATAGATTGAGCCAACCCATTGAAGAAGAAATAATGTTCAGCGTTGAAGATGATGACAATGACTATGAGGGTGAATATGATGCGGAAGAAATAGAAGAACTGCAAGAAGCAGAAGACAAACTGCAAGTATATCCTGACGAGGAAGATGATGTTCGTGCAGGAGTGAGGTTTGAAGAAGTCCCCGTGTTGAGTACAACAGATGATTCAAATAAAGACAAGAAAAGGAGAACACGAAGTGGACCATCATTTTATTCAAACAGAGTCAAGTATCGACCCACAGATAGGAATCGAACTGACAGACCAAGACATGGTCAGACGTACTTACAACAAAAGAAGCCCAAGATCAATTTGTTAAAGAACAGGAGTAAATACCAGGCTATCGGGTCAAAGGTAAAATCACGAAAGAAAGGAGAGTTTCAAGATGACAACGTGTTGAGCACTGAAGCAGGAAGAAAGATAACCGAATGGGCGCATAACTTAATGTTCCAGCAGAATGGAACTGAGAAGAAAGCGACTTACAATGTGGATGAGTCGTTGGTGATTTCACGCATCATGCAACAGATTTGTGACGAGGTGTACACAAGGGATGGAGTGTCATTTATTCAGCAGTATTATCTTAACAAAGGATTAAAGATTTTCAAAGAATGGGGAAAAGAAGCTGCACTCAAGGAACTTGATCAACTGATCAAACGAAGTTGTTGGACACCCATCAGCAATGGTGAATTGACTGAATCCGAGAAGAGGAAAGCAGTCGATGCAATGATGTTACTGGCAGAGAAAAACAGTGGTGATATAAAAGGTCGTTTTGTATATAAAGGAAATGAGACAAGAGACTGTCTGTCTTGAGAGGACACAGCTAGCCCAACAGCATCGTATGAAGGTATCTGTTGCACAGGAGTGATTGACGCGCACAAAGGTAGATGCATGATGTCAATGGACATTCCGAACGCATTCATTCAGACCTTGATGCCAGATTTAGGTGATGGAGAAGATCGGGTGATCATGAAGGTAACTGGACTGATGGTCCAATATATGATCGATTTGGACCCGACCTATCGCGATTATGTTGTTTATGAGAATGGCAAGAGAGTGATCTATGTTGTGATCCTTTGTGCCATATATGGAATGTTGCAGGCCTCGTTGCTGTGGTATCGAAATCTGAGAGCTTCTCTAGAGGAGTATGGCTTTGTTTTTAATCGATATGATCCCTGCATTGCCAACAGAATGGTTGATGACAAACAATTGACAATCAGGTTCCATGTTGATGACGTTTTGGCAAGTCACATGGAACAACAAGTACTTGAAGATTTTTTCACAGGGGTGAATGAAAAATATGGTGGCTTAGAAGAGGTCACATGTACTAGAGGTAAAGTTCATACTTATTTGGGTATGACATTGGATTTTTCGAAGAAAGGAAAAATGAAAATTCGCATGGAGGATTATGTGGATCGCATGCTGAGTGAGTTTCCAGTCAAGTTTAAGGAAAATGAGGTCCAGGAGACACCAGCCGGAAATAATCTACTGGAGAAAGGTAAAGGGGCACCGCTTGAGAAGGAACGACATGAAGTGTTCCATTCGTTTGTTGCCAAATTGTTATTTTTGTCCAAACGTGCTCGTCTGGACATCAGTCCAACAGTATCGATTTTAGCATCAAGGGTGCAATCTCCGAATCTGAGTGATTGGCATAAACTAGTTCGATTGATGAGATACATTCATTCTACAAAAGGATGGCATCTGACATTGAGCGCTGATGATTTGCGCGTGATTAAATGGTATGTCGATGCATCATTTGCTGTTCATCCAGACTTCAAAAGTCATACTGGAGCTGTGATGACAATGGGCACTGGAGCAGTGCAAGCAATTACACAAAAGCAGAAATTGAATTGTGACAGCAGTACACATGCTGAACTAATTGGAGTCCATGATGCGATGTCAAATATTTTGTGGACCCGCTTATTTATGGAAGAACAAGGTTACCCAATCGAGAAGAATATACTATACCAAGATAACAAGAGTTCGATCCTACTTGAAACGAATGGGAGATCGAGTGCCGGAAAAAGGAGCCGTGCGCTAAACATCCGGTATTTCTTTGTGACAGATCAAGTCGAATTGGGCAACATTACTATTGAACACATGCCAACTGATGAAATGTGGGCAGATTACATGACAAAGCCTTTACAGGGCGAAAAGTTTCGCAAATTCCGGGCTGTAATTCAAGGTGACCAGGATTAGTCCTGACAATCGATCTTGGATATTTACTTATATTGAGAAGTAATGTTTTCGTTCCATCCACTGGAGTCGCTGGTGAAACGACAGGAGTGTGTTGGAGGTATTGATATACTGAGAAATCATATTGGTCGATTATTGATCAATGGTCTATGTGACATGACGCGGCAGTGACGTGAGTGTCGATCATGCGTAGTATGAAACGCAGTATGTCCAAACGAGTTGTCACGTAGAAAGGTGATCAAGAATGAGAATCGTGAGAATTAATATGATCCTGAACTTCAATTGAGAGTCTCACTATTGATTGAGTTCTGGCAAGAATAATATTGTGGACATTGAGGTCCAAGCAAGTATAGGAAATAATAAAGTAAGACCTTTGATTGAATAAGACTACTGCTTATTCCAGAGGCTGAGGCCCAGAGTCGCTGGTGCCCAAAGGCAGACCATAGCCAACGTAGATTTGATCTCAGGGATTGCTCATTGAAACAGACAGGGCGTTGAGGCACCCATTCAGGTCTGTAGAGCAAGTCCATCTGACAGGAAAAATGTTCGTGCGCCTCCTGTTCTTCAGGATAATATTCTTCTTGTTCATAGTTGTATTGATCATTCCATTGCTGATTTTCTTCAGCTTGATAATATTGTTCCTGATGCTGGTACTGCTTGGCACTTGGCATTCCGCCATAAGACATTCCGTCTTGGTTCCATTCCGGAACGCTGCATTCCGCAGCAAAGCTTTCAGCTTCTTGATTGTAATGCGACTCAGCATAGAAATTTTGACTGTTTTGTTGCTGTGATTGGCCTCTGCCTTGATAGTTTTGTCCTGGCTGAAAACGACCAGATTGGGAGTGTCCACTGGCCATTGAATCCATGGCCTCTGCCACCATTGTTGGGGTGTCTTGGTTGAAATCGTCCTTGGTTCTGTTGCTGGGAATTGCCTCTACGTTGAAAACTTTGTGAAGTCCCTTGAGAATATCTTGGAGAGCTCGAGGGACTTGGATATGGTTGATAACCATTGCTTGGTCGACCATGACCACGACCACCACAAAAACGATTGTGGTGAAGGCCTCTACCGCCTGTGCAATTACCAGGTTGAGTTCGACGGGGAGAACTTTCCTGCATAAGTCTCTTCCTGTCCACGGTTCTTTTCTTCTGTGTCATAGAAAAAAAGAAAATCAGAAACAAAACAACATGCAAACACGCAGAACCAGCCAATCTGCTCCGCGTAGTGCTAGTACTGATTATACGTAGAAAACTTTGAATTTATCAACAAACAAACGGCAAAATACTGGCAAAACATGGGCAAATCTCCAGCTTCGAAGGCTGCCTCGGCTAATGCAAAAAAGCTGGGTGTGGCTAAGTCCAAGGCTTCCTCTGTAGGAAAAAAAGCGATAAAAAAACGACTGGAAATTGATTTGGAACAGCCCAAAGACAGAGATCCTGTTAATTCCAATGATGTTGACATCAAGCAAATTGCCGATGATCACGACGCTCTACGAACGGCCGACGAATTCGAGGCACAACGAATCGCCGAGCGAGAGTTGCGGTGGAGAGAGGACTACAATAAACTGGTCCCTAAATTATCTTAGTGGTGGTCAAAGAAACTGTACTGCGGTGAAGCGGTCAATCAAGCGATGCAAAGAATGGATGGCATTCAAACCGGCAACGCCTTATTTGCAGCCTGGGATGATCGATATCCAGGCGCTTGGAATCAACCTTGTTTGCGATTTGATGCCCTGTTCAATGACTATGCCGGCACATCAACATGCAACGATCGATTTCTTCAAATTTTTACTTATCTCAACTCTGATAATGCCCAACTGGCTCAATATCTCATCTCCTCTTTTGATCTATACACAATCGAGGATACAGCAGCCGAAGACGTCTGGTCACTGCGAGTTCTTGCAATGCGAATTTCATTGCAGAACCCTTTCTTGTTCTTTGGTATTGACGAATTTGAAAAAAACCAGAACAACAACCAATTCTTTGAAGGGGACAAGTCGGATCCTCGCCTTCGTCTGGAAAATCCGCTTGTTGGCTTTTGGTTGATTTGTACTGAAATGTTTGATTATCCATGGGCAACAACCTTTGATGACGACTACTATAACGAGCCGTCTTCGTCAATCATTTGCGGCATCAAACAAAAACGGTTGGCACCTTTTCAGTCCTTTTTCCGACCAGAAAGTTCAAATCATCATATTCAACATGCAATCCAGAAGATCGGTGATCCAATGAATGACCATTTGGACAATGCGATAGGCCAGTCTCATTTGAACAAAACAACTTTAGTGGATCAAAGGAAGCGTCATCGTAATCTGACCTACAATAGATACGATGCACTGGTGGATGAAGAAGGATCGAGTGGGGGAAATGCTGACAATGCCGAGGCTGAGGACGACGATGCCACTACTATTGACGGTGATGCCTACCAACAACCAAATCAGGACGATGATGACGATGAAATACTAGTGACGGCGGTCCGAAACAACCCAAGACGCCCACCACTTTCTTCAGATGATGAGGACGACGGAGATGAGGATGATAATGAGGATGCTGATGCGGTGAGCAACGGTGGGGTGGTTCAGACAGAATCTGTAGAAGCACTGGTGAGGTCAGAAGACGACAATATGGCGATTGACAGCTTGACAAGCCCAACTCAGGTCTTTCAGGACAGCTCTTCATTGATCCATACACCTCCACCTACACGTCGCCTTGCTCCACCGCCCACTCTTGCTGAGAAACTTAACAAATTAATTCAAGTTAACTTGGATGGGATGACCTGCAGATGTCATATTTTTGAGTCGGACTCCGGCACGGTTGCTGAGCCAATTTTATCTGCGGTGCTGACATCCATGGAGGAAGCTTTGAACGACTCCTTTCACAAGTTGAAGATCCTTCCTATCTCCGACGACACTTATAAACAACAGAACCGGTGGATCCGGAACTTGGTTGAGTTACGCAACAAAATTTTGTCCTACGGGGCCCTGAGTCTTTACTGCGATATGGAATATGGGAATTCTCCTTATGCAGCAACCAACAGCAAACCTGGTGAGAAGAAACTACGTACCCGAATGCGGGTTGGCTTTGCAACGGACACGTCGGAAGAGGCGGTACAGGACTATCTTCACACTGGTCTCCGTTCCCAGGGTCGCGGTGCCGGATGTTACCCGTCGCCGCTTCAATATGGGGACATTGTTAAAGTGGGTTGCTTTGCCTTCATCCCGCCGGAGGTTAATTTCAACGCCTATGCAAAAGAAATCATGCGTCACTTTGACTTCTCTATCCCTATTAGAATCAAGATGGACTGGGTTTCTACACCTTACACAGGACGTGCTAAATTCAACAAACGTTCCCCCGGTGTAACAAGTCCTCATGGGTACGCTCGCAAGATTCATGCCAAAAGAGTTGATCGAGAATTAAGAAGCCTTCTTAATCCATCCACAGCAAAGCCAGACTTCCCCTTCGCTGCTCCGGCTACATTTATCAGTGATTGGAAGTCGGCTCAACAGGGATTGATCAGTGTGAAGGCCTACGGTCCGGTTAAGGATGCTACCCTCACCCTTATTAGCAAACTACGTGATTACTACATCCTGACAGAGGTCCTGTATTCGGTCACAGATCTGCCCGGGATGTTCAAGTTCGCAACTACTACTATGTTTGGCTCATGCACCTTGTTGAAGCTTCTCTTGTTGATCAAGGCAACTCCAGCTCAAGCCGACAAAGCTTCTCATGTCCATCAATCAACAACTGAGACTGATGACTCAGACGATGATTCAGACAATGACTCTTCTGCCGACGATCCCAATGAATCCTCTGGCCTCAAAGGCGGTCAATTCACAGAAGTTCGGTCTAAGAAGGCGGCAACAAAGGTGAAAAAGAAGGCAAAGAAGAAAAAGAAGTTGATCACTGATAATGAGAATCCGTTCCTTAACGATCTCTCCCCAGCCCAACGGAAAATGGCTGAGGTTGCTGACCGTAAGCTGAAGAATGATCAGGAGCGTCACAAGTCCGGTCCGCTGTTCTTGATGGTTCTACCTGGCAAGATGGAAGGACAATTGGCTCATAACGTCTTGAGGGGCTTGGTCCCTTTCCTGACTCATCACCTGTATGAGCCAACTCTGACAAAAACCGACCAAGTCCTCCGTAAATGGGTTCCGCAATCAGAGATCAGTATGGCTCGACGTAAGAACCTCAAATGGTGCACAAACACTCTCCGTGCAGTGGAGGCTACCGCATCGCCAGACGCGGTGGAAGAAGCACTGGAGTTTCTGGATGATGTGATGGAAGACGCAACGGATGTTTATGATGGGCAACTCTCGATTGATTTGGATATGGCTAACAATAAAGATATTGATGATGGGAAGACCGTGACGGGAATGATGGACGAGATGCAGGAACGCGAGCAACAACTGGAAGATGCTTTCAATGAGATTGAGATTCGGGACAATGCACTGGAGGCTCAGGAACGCGCCTTGGCTCAACACCGTGCGGACAATGCGGCACTGCAAGCACAGCTCACTGCCCTCCAGAGTCAGGCCAGCCATCCACCCACCATGATGAGTCCGCCAGCTCTCACTCCACCCCACAACAATCGCGTGTCCCCTGACCGTTAAGCAGTGAACCCACCGGTCAGATCTAGCAACAGAACCTTAGGCAAGTCATCCACTGGGAAGAGCTCTATTGTTCCCAACACAGGGACAAAACCAAAGAAGGCCATCAAGCAGGGCAAAGCTAAACAACCAGCCAAGAAGGCCTGTACAAGTGCAGGTGTCCAATTTCAGGAACCATCTCCTGCCCAACCCTCGACAGACTCGGCTGTCCAAGTAGACACGTCTCACATGGAAGGGGATAACACTACTGCCGCGTCTCAAGATGAGAGCCAAACCTCCTCTCTTACTGCGTCTACCCCACGAGGTGGAGGGTCTCCATTCTTATCTCCTCCTCCTGGGAAGGCGCACAGTGATGGCGCCAGTAAATCCTCTCAGTCCTCCCGTGGAGCTCCCCGCTCCGCGGAGGGGCCATGAGAGGCCCACGATTGTCTGCAGCTAGGTCACGGCGTGCAGGCAGAAGATCCCGTATTAGTGGCCCGTCAAGTGGAGTCTCTCACGCTTCACTGGATGAATATTTACGTTCTCTTCCAGCAGGGGATTGGTCTGGCAATGATCACCGTCGCCATTCTTCACTGGCTACTCGAGTCTGTTTCCAGAATGTCAACGGATTACCAGAAAACGGCAATGACTCAAAGCAGCAACAGATCAACTCCTGGCTGAAGGAGGAACGAGTGGGAATTGCGTTGTTGGCAGAGGCCAAGACGTTTTGGCCGTCTATCAATGAAGGTCACGGGTGGAGTGACAGACTCCGTCAAGCTACAATGAAGTCCGAGCAAAAAGGGTTTTACTCGTCGGTAGCTTACAATCGGCATCAGGACAGATCTGCTGCCACCTCGGCGGTACAATGGGGTGGGTGCATCGTAACCGTTTTGAACCAAGTGGCGCACAGGGCTAAGGAAGCTGGCAGAGACCCCACGGGTTTAGGACGGTGGGCCTATGTCCGTCTCCAAGGAAGGAAGTTGAAAGCCCATGGGGGTAATGTTCAGGACTCTTTGGTTGAGGTAAATGACTTAGTTCGTGGTCCGATCTCCAAGGACTTAGTGGTTGTCTCCGCGTATCGTCCCAACAAGCAAGGCCTCGGTGGATCTACAGTATGGGCACAACACAGGCTTCACTTTCATGCAGTGAATCGAAAAGTTAATCCACGGAAAGCCTTTGTGGATGATCTTTGCAAACAGATCACCAAATGGCGTGATGAAGGATGTGAGGTGGTTTTGGGTATAGATGCAAACGAGGATGTCACTGTTAACGCACCCCAGTCTATCCGCCACCGCTTCCGGGCCTGCGGTCTTGAGGAGGCGATCCTAAAACACCATCCACCGCAAGCAACCCACCAGCGCAACCAACGGAAAATTCCGATTGATGGTATCTTCACCACTTCAGGAGTACCAATCCTTGCGGGTGGGTACTATGCCTTTGACGAATGCTTCGATTGCGATCATCGCGGATTGTGGATTGACATTGATCTTTCCGCCTCCTTGGGCAACTTCCAACCTCAGAAATCCAACTTCAAGCCACGGAAGTTGTCCCTTCAAGACTCTTGATCTGTCCGCAAATATCTTCAATTGGTTCACAAAGGTTATGCCAAGTACTCCATCCTGGAGAGATTGAATATGCTGAATAAGCGTATTGCTCACCAGGGCCACCAGATGACCTCTCCCTTGGTGCGCAAATACAACTGTTTACACAGACAAATGTATACTGTGAGGCGCCAGGCGGAAGAGAAGTGCCGGGCCTTAGCTCCAGGTAAAGTTCCCTGGTCACCAAAAATGCAGGGATTCTG